GCAGGCGCCCTCATCACCAGCACAGATATCTTGGGCACTAACCCGGAGTCTCTGACACAACCTGCAGATGGTCAGGGTCTTCCTCTTCTTCCTGAGCCCTTGGGAAACTCCACCGCTGGAGAGTGCCTCCTGCTGGAGGCTGAAGGGATGTCAAAGTCCTACTGTAGTGGGACGGAGCGGGTGAGCCTGATGGCTGATGGGAAGATCTTTGTGGGAAGCGGCAGCAGTGGGGGCGCTGAAGGGCTGGTCATGAACTCGGACATACTCGGTGCTACCACAGAGGTTCTCATTGAGGATTCAGACTCTGCTGGACCTTAGTAGAAGGGAAGACTTTAGGCACTGGGACGGCTCAGACTTTGTACTTAAAAGATAAAAAGGACAAACAAGTGAAAGCGTCTAAGATCTAGTGAAGTAACCGGAGGCCTGCTCTCCCCAGCGTGGGTCACAGCACACACCTTCTCTCCCCTCCTGTCCCCTTTATAGAATTGATGTTGCCTTTACCAGGAAGGTAGACAAAAAATAAGAAGCTCTTAAAAGTGAGGGTCACCCTCATGCTCAGTTCCAGCCAGGCAGACTTCCTGCTCATTGCAGATCCCTTTTTCTAACCTGTAATTCTTCTTACATGCTCTGGATCAGCTTTTAACTCTTAGTGGTATATACTGTCCTCTCAATCCCTTCTCCTCCTCTACTGCTGCCCTACGGCCTGGCTTCTACCCACTGCAGCACACTTACCCTCAAAGTATCATATAATTCTAATCTCTGGAGGCTGGCAGCTTGACTTGGCACTTTAGGGCCCCTTAACAGGGTGAGCTGTTAAAACAGCACACATCTCTCACCCCCTTTTCTTCCGTTCCTCACTGGGTTTCCGAAAGGAAGGATACATGGGGACCACTCTGACCCCAGCACCTCAGCCCTCCTCCCAACACCTTCATATGGTTCTCAGTGGTGCTCACTTGCTTGGAGGCAGGCTCCCAACAGGGAGGGGGCTGCCCTTTACGTGGTCTCTTTGACCATAGGACAGGGCTGTGTATCAGTGAGACAGAAAAGTCCCAGTTTAATGGCAGAAATTTGCACTTTGAACATGTGTGTTTTTGTGTTGTGGAACCTGAGATTCCTTATTTATTAACGGAAAGTCTGATTTTTTTTTTGATTTTTTTTTTTTTGTCTTTGTTGCTATATTTTGTGGGGCTGGGAGAGACTAGATTATTCTGACATGGGGTCCTTTCCATAAGAGGTACTTTTGAAGGCAAGATATAGGGTTGAAGAAGCACAGCCAGCCTCTAAAATCATAGCTCTCCAGTGGCCTTTAAGCTGGTCCTCAGCACTAATAAAATCACTACAGTAGCTTAGTGCTTTTTCGGAAGCCTTTTTAGGGAAGAATGTTAGATTTGTGGTAATTAGTGCTCTGAGATTTTAGAGCATTGAGATTTAGGAATTTTGAGGGGATAAGGTTGTTCAGGGTCTGAATTACAGATAAAGATTTTCTCTTGTGAATTTGTTTTTATTTGTCCCCATCATTTCTTTACACATACCTCCCTGTAGGCCCAGCTCTGGCCCCTTGCCTTGTGTTTGTTTTGCTTTACTCTATCATTGGTTCATTCCAGCTCCCAATTAGTGAAGGACACTGCCATTAGTGAAGGAATATTCTAGGAGTTGTACACTTTTAAGTCAAAGAATATTGCTCTATTTTGTTTCCCTTTTAATAACACTTCAGAAGAGGAAAGGCTTCAACAAAATAATGTAATAATAGCTTTAGCTTCCACCTGAAATACTGGGAATTACCACTTCCCTTGCGATTGGGGGTTTTTTGGGGTGGATTGCTTATTACTATCCATGGGAGAGACAGGAAATGTTTTTGTGTAAGTTAAGAACTCCCAGGAGACGAAAACCCATTTTGGCTCATTTTTAGGGAATTAAAAGGGCAATTTCTGTCCTCTTGTGCACCTCAGAAGCTGGAATTCAAGGCTTGCCCTATGCATTGTTTGTCAGAAATGTGCGATGGCTGTTGGAAAGAATGAAGTTTTGCTGAGAACAAAATAAGGAACAGCTTGTTTTTCACAAACACTAAAACTACAAAGTTTATCAATTTTCTCTTTGATTTTTTTTTCACAAAAAGAGGGTAACAAAATGTCATCTCTGAAAGAGGCTTACTTGACACCCACTGGTGTCAGTGGCTGGGATGCCAGGGAGTAGGGAGTGAGACACCTACAGTGCACAGTCTTAAATGCACTATTGTTTCTCTTCGGAGTGTGGCAGCTTTGCCATCCCTCCAGTGTGGGGGTAGAAAGTGGAATAAGGACAGAAGGGGTGTCGAATATGCTTTCCTGCCCACAGTAAAAACTTGGAGTTGACTGGTGTGTTGATTAGATGTGAAAATACATGACTGACTGGGTGGTCTACAACAAAGTTGCCCCCCAACGTAAGTCTATTTTGTACTGTTTCACTAGCTAGCATCCTTTCCCCACTTTTACCTTTGTCTTTGTCACATTTATTTTATACTTTGTGTCCATAAATTACATTTTTGGTAGTTAGTAATGAGATATTTTAGCCACGTACACAAAAGCAAACTGCGTAAAAAAACAAAACACTTTATGAGATAGAGGAAATATGATCTTCCCTATCTTACACTCCTCTTCCCTCCAAAGTTCTAATAATTAAAACTATATGTTCTTTCTCCCATTTTTTGGCCTCTTCATAGCTAACCATTTGCCTACAATTTACTTCAATAAATTATTATAGCAGGTTGCGATAAATTTTTAAATATTTTTCATGGACTTTATCTTTTTCCTTTTGAGATGGGGATGCTAGCATAGGAAAGAGTTGGTGTAAGTAAACTAACTTATACTGGGGCCTCTTCCCTTTTCCTTTCTGCTCCTCATGCTGTTTACTTCTTTGTCCTTCCAAGGAGCTCTTTCAATCTTAAAATTCTGCATTTCCTACTTCTAGTCAAATTCTGTTACCTTTTTCCCCACTGCATATTCTCCATCTTGAATGGGCAGTTCTAGATTCTGAAACTGTAGTTGAGATACTTTCTGTGCTTCCCCCTTGTTTGATTGCCCAGGGTTATCATAATTGCATAATTGAGACTTAATATGCTTCATAAAGTTTAGATAAACACTGGCCAGGATTACTGGGAGTAAAAAATATATATATATATTAAGGTATGGAAAGGCATCCACGTAGAGCACTTGAACCTCCTTTGTACCTGTTGGGAGAAAAAAATACGAAGAGTGTATTAAACCTGAGGTGGTTACAGTCTCTTTGTTTGAAATTCCATTTTTCTCTGCTGTCTTTTTCCCACTTTCCAATGTACTCAAGAAAATTGAAAGATTGTAATGGATCAATTTAAAATATTTTATTTCCTAAAAGCCTTTTTGCCTATTGTAATGTGCAGGACCCTTCTCCTTTGATGGGAGAGACAGGTAGTTACCTGAATCTAGGTTGAAAAAGTTATGTAAAAAGAAATTATAATAATAAAAGGGATACTCTGCTTTTCAAATTCTTGTTTTCTCTTAATCTAGGTAAGGCATATCCAAAATAAATATGTAAAGAAGAAAAATAAAAGTTGTGTTCATGGAAGCAACTGGTCTTCCTTGGTTGTACTGAGTTACAGTTGTCCCAGGGTGAAACGCTGCTAAGAAAACCACATGCCCTCAGAGCAGGCCTTACGTGGCAGACCCTGTTTGCTCTTGTGGAAATCAGGTAGTTAACTTTGGACTCTGTGTAGCTCTTGATTTCTAACGCTGAGATGCCCTATGATCCTGTGATCAGTCGGCAAAGTGTACCAACTTTAAGAAAAAGATAGAATCCTCTTACCTTCTAAAAAGGCCTGTGACAGCCACCCAGGCCTCATTTCTTCTGTACAGCCCTCCTTTGTTTACCTATGGAAACTGGCCCCTGAGAAGGCAGAGGTAGTGTCCGTGATAGGAAATAGTGAAAGCTAATTGATTCATTTGAAGTTGAAACTTGCAACCCCTACCAATTGGCACCATCCCCTAACCTACTGAATTAAATGCAGTAGAGTAGCAGCTCTCCAACTGCTTTTAAACTCTCTTGTCCTCATTTCAAAGCCCAGCTCATTATCTTACTTTGTTAAGAAGCATGTAGTATAACTGCGATAAGGAAAAAAAGAAAAACATGTTGTCACTTGAGCAAGATTGCCTTAGTAATGTTACATGTCAGGGTTGGGTGGTTCCTGTCCTTTGGTAAAGAACAGGCCTAAACAGTACCTTCCTCATCCTGAAGCTACGAGGAAGGCACTGTGATTGAGATCAGAGATGCTTTCTTAGCCGATTTTTAATCAAATGTAAGTTAAACTACCTTTAAATACATAGTAAAAGGATGGGAGTAAAAAAAAAGGATATCTTTTTAAAGGACCTTTTTCACACAAACTTTGTTCCATGAACAAAATGTGAAATATCTAGACAATGAAATTGTAAAGTCAGTGGAAGAAACAACTGTAGAATCAAACACTAATATTTAAATTTTGAGCCTAGTTAGTTGGATTTTATTTAATTTCTTTAAGCCTCGATTTCTTTATATGTAAAATGGGGGGAATAATGTTTATCTCATGGAATTATTTGGAAGATCAAATAAAGGCTTGAAAACCTTGAGCACAGTGTCTGGCCCAAGGTAGGTGCTTAATAAATGGCAGCTATATTAATAATATTAATGTAATATTATTGAATACTTTGCCAGGCCAGAAAGAAAGGGAGCACAGAGGAGGGTGGTAATGAAGTGAACTATATGTGTGTGTATAGAATAGGCTACATTAGGCAGGGGTGTCATGAGGATTAGTATAGTGTGATAGTGACCTTGTTGCTAAGTGCAAAAGCAAAACAATGACATAAAAACAAGTAGGCTAGGCACTCAGTGGAGGAGAGAGATGGAGGCAGACGCTGCAGGAAAAAAAAGCTGAGTAAAAGGGGCCTTTGATTCCACAGGCACAAAAATCCACAGCCAGGAATTTGCTGCCACCTCTGAGTCAGGCAGGGGGTGGGGGTGGGGTACTCCATTCCATTAGTAGAGAATGCCCAGTGGATTTAGTCTTTGAGAGTCACATTTCTTATTTGGAACAGTGTAGACAGAAACAAACTCAGCTCACTTGTTTCCTGGGACAGTTGAGTTGGGGGATGGCTTTCGCAGAGCACTCACCGCTGACCCCTCACCGCCGGGACCTCTGTAGCCGCTCTATCTGGCTAGCAAGGAAGATCCGTTCAGACCTGACCGCTCTTATGGAATCTTATGTAAGTTGCCTATTTTGCTGTTGTCTATTTTCACTTCCTCTCTTCTGATGCAACCCCTTACCATCACGCGCCAGTCCCATTACCAATTATAAAAGCCCGGATCATACAGTCACCTGTATATTGGATACATGCTATTTGACACGGTCCCTTGCCTTAAGGAAGCTCATATGAGCTTATTTCCTTTCTCTGGTATTTTTAGGAGACATGTTCCTTGAGTAAGAAAATACACGTGGGTTGCTGGGTAGGGTTGGCTATCTGTCTTGGAGGGTGTTCCTAATTTGCCTACAGTCTGAATTCTGCCAGAAGAGATGAGCCATGAGCCCTCTAAGTTTGGGTTCTTCATATACATTGTTCTGAATTTCTGAGCTATGGAAATGAAAGACAGAGTAAGGTTTATAGGATTGTGAGAAGAGCAGTGTAAACCCAACCAATTTCTCATACAGTATTAGCCACCCACTTTTTAATTAAACACAAGAGTGTTTCTGGAGTGCCCTGGCTGGTGTGGCTTGGTTGGGTGGAGCGTCATCCCGTGCACCAGAAGGTCATGGGTTTGATTTCCGGTCAGGGCACATACCTAGGTTGTGGGTTCGATCCCCAGAGGCAACTGATCAATGTGTCTCACATCGATGTTTCTCTCTCCCTCCCCACCTCTCTCTGTAAATATAAAAAGAAAAAAATGTTTCTGGATCTAAACAGAAGGGTCACCTATACTATCAGAAGGATTCCCTAGAAGATTCTCTGGCAAGTGTTAAATTCTTAAAACATTAACCATGGGTTTCAGATTGGTTTTCTGACTGGGAGATTATCATCAGTCTACCTAAGATCTGCTATGGAAACACTCCAGACCCTGTGGAGCGTATCTTTGTATAGCTCCACCCGTCGGAAATCAGATCCTGAAGTACCAGTTTTTTAAACTGATTTCCACTGAATTCTCTGAAGGATTTTCCTCACCACTGAGAGTGGGCAATGGAGGAGAGATGATTAGTAAAATTCTACAGAGTCTACATTCTAGGGCTTCCTAGGTGTGGCCAGTGTCTTCAAGTATGTTTAAAACACTTAAAACTTTAGTATGATTAAAATACTCTAGGAGGGAGTTTGAAGTGGGAAGGAAAAGTAATCCCAGACCAGTGGTTTTCAACTTTAAGAACCAAATGAAAGCTGCAGATTCTCCCAGGAAAAATAAACAGTCGTAGTCAAAGCAGTATGTATAATTCCAGGGACAACAGGGCCTTCCAAAAGTCCAATCATGGACCTCAAATCAAGAGTTTCTGTTCTAGACTTTATTTTCTTTATAATTTGGATCCATGACCAGGGAAGCGAGTAAGATTTTATATGAGATTTGGGGATTATTAAGTGAGATGTGTGCGTCTCTGTATCCTTGGCCAGGTGAAGCATCAGGGCCTGAATGAGAACATAGACCTGGACTCCGTGGATGGTGTGCCAATGGCGAGCACCGGTCGGTGGAGTGAGCTGACCGAGGCCGAGCGACTCCAAGAGAACCTCCAAGCTTACCGTACCTTCCATGTCATGTTGACCAGGCTTTTAGATGACCAACGGGTGCATTTCACTCCAGCCGACAGTGACTTCCATCAAGCAATACATACCCTTCTACTCCAAGTTGCTGCCTTTGCTTACCAGCTGGAGGAATTAATGGCGCTCCTGGAACTCAAGATCCCCCCCAATGAGGCTGATGGGATGCCCGTTATTGTTGGAGATGGTGGTCTCTTTGAAAAGAAACTGTGGGGACTAAAGGTGCTGCAAGAGCTCTCACAGTGGACAGTGAGGTCCATCCATGACCTCAGAGTCATTTCTTCTCATCAGACTGGGATCTCAGCACATGGAAGCCAGTATATTGCTAATGACAAGAAAATGTAGCAGTTAGCCCGGCGGGAGTGGCTCAGTTGGTGGAGCGCCATCCTGTGCACCAAAAGGTTGTTGGTTCGCTTCCCGGTCAGGGCACATAACCTGGGTTGCTTGTTTGATCCCCCGTCGGGGCACATACAGGAGGCCGCTGATGGATGTTTCTCTCTCCCTCCCTCTCTCTGAGCATGTCTCTGGTGAAGATCAACAACAAGAAAGGAGCAGTTACCCATCTCTCTCCCTTTCTTTTCAAATGGAATATATATATAGTTATCTGAGGCCTCGCTTTCCCATTCTTAAATTTTTGAAAACCTTTCAGACCACAGGCATTTTCATCAAGTAGGGTTGGAGACATGGACTAATTGGGCATACAGGTTTAGTTGGCTGGAGGATAGGCGGGGGGATGCTGGGACCGTAAGGGAGTGGGGGCAAGGGCACCATTGTTCCACCTCAGTGCTCCAGCCTTTCCTACCTGCCAAGAAACCTCTACAGACATTTAACAGCTTCACAGGATAAATATATTTTTAACTCTTGTCCTGGTAGACTCTTTTGAGGACTATAACAGGGAACTAAAAATCATGGACTTTATCCAATTCGAACTCTTGGATAATAAAGACAGTAACTAACGTTTATTGAGTATCTACTACATTGAAGCAGTATGTCAGGGGCTTCATGTATGTTCGGACTTTCACAACCCTGTCAAGGGAGGTGATGTTATTTCCATTTGGCACATGAGGTAACAGGTTCACAGAAACTTATAACTTGTTCAAGGTTACCCACCTAGCACACAGTGCACTAAGTTTGAACCCAGATCTTTCTCATTTCAGAGCCTATATGCCCTTCACTTTAGAGGCCTGACGTGAACCTCTATCACTGCACCTCTTTGCCACAGAGGGTTGGAAAATGGACTCCCCATGGAGTCCATCCCTAGCGCTGAAAAAACAACCCCCTTACAGTAGTCCCACTTATCCAAAGCTTCACTTACCCCGGTTTCAGTTACCTATGGTCCATGGCAGTAAAAAATATTAAATGGAAAATTCCAGAAATAAGCAACTGATAAGTTTTAAACCGTGCTGTTCTGAGTACTGTGATGAAATCTCATGTGGTCCCGTGCCATCCTGCCCAGGACATGATAAACTCCTTTGTCCAGCGTAGCCACGCTTTATACACTGCCACCCGTCAGTCACTTAGCCATCTCCGTGATCACAGAGAGCGAGACCACGCTCACATAACGTTTACTACAGTGTATTGTTATAATTGTTTTATTCTTGGTGTTAACCCCTTACTGTTAAGAAAAAACATACAGGGTTCTGTACTCTCTGCGTTTCAGGGATCCTCTGGGGGTCTTGGAGTGTCTCCGCGTGCATGAGGGGGACCACTGTACATGTCCTGAAGGACACAGTGTGAGTGTCAAAGGCAGTGTTTGTTTCCATACGTGGCAAAGGAGAGCAGTGGAGATGTTAAGATACTGCTTGGGGAAAAGATTAGACCCACCAAACTAAACTTGGGAAGCTGGGGGTGGGGGGTGGTAATGCAGCATACCTCAGAGTGTCCACTAATGTTTGAGCTTGGGATTGGGCACAGCTTATGCCAGGCTGGCACGCATTGTAATCAGCAATGCTGCGATACGGTCACTGTAACCCAGGCATTCATGGACAGTGGATGGGATACCACTCAGGTTAAAAAGTCCCAGAACTCCTTCACCACGCATTCTCTGGACTTAGTCATGAGGAGAGGGTGAGGCCCACTCGGTTCCCAGTGGGAAAGCCAGCGATACTGAAACAATGCACAGCAAAGCCCCCACACTTCCCAGCAAAGGGGCAGCACTGTGTTTAATGTTATGGAGAGAAACAGTATGAAAAGTTCGCTGGCCGTCGGGCCTATGAACTAGTGCAAGTGTGAATCCAAAACGTCTCAGGTGTATCCTTTCATACCTCCAGTCAGTTAAGATGCTGGACCTTGGGTTGGGGGCCCATATCGGTTTCGTTCAGTTGCTTGAGGTAGCTTAAATGAGCCATGAGTCAAGGCTAGCTCACATAGGTTGCATGAGGTGGGATGGGTGACTTAGCTTGTGTCCTTTCCCACAAGGGTTCATGAAGTCAATATTATGAGAAGACTCTAGGGTAGAAATTAGGACAATACAGGGGAAGTAAGGCCCTGCTCTCTAGTACGGAAACAAGGTTGTATGCATAGAAGAGATCACACTAGGTTGGAACTGTAAGACAGGCTTAAGTGTTACAGAGTTAAAGGAAGGAGCTCTACGAGGACCAGACTGAATTAGGGATTGACATTAGGCTGGTGCTGCTGGTGTGTATCCTGTAACACAGGGATAACAGTGTCACTGGGAGTCTGTATATTTTTAATCATCCACAATCCAAAAGAAATTTTTGATCTTTGGATTTTAGTTTTGTTTCTTAGATCTGCATATGGATAAGATCTCTGGGGAATCATAGTTTTATATACATATAAACTATAGAAATATGTACATATACCATATTCTATATGTGTGTATATGATTAAAATGCATACTTTCAGTTCTTTGCCCCTAACTCTTATTTTGTCAAGAGGATCCCTTCCTGTATGAGAGTTGATAAATTCCTCCTGCGTTGACTTAAGAGAGCGATTTGGAAAAGATTTGCAAATTAGCACAAACTCGAAGCCCAAGCATGGAATAAAATTAGCTTTGAGATAGTCAGGCTTGAGGGAAGTGAGAGTTTTAATAAAAACGGAAAGTGTAAAGTCATAGCCCTGGTATTGCTGTTATTTCAGGCTGCTGTGGATTAAAGCCCAAGGGATGACTCATTGTGGTGACCGCTGGTCAAGTGGGGAGAGGACAAGTAAATATTTCAGGGTGACATAGCCTGAAAGGTGTAGAATGATTTTTTGTAAATTCTCACCTCATGGGGTAGCTGAGCACGGGGTGGGGTGGGGGTAGGAGCTCCCACCAGGGTGGCGAGGGTTTGGCGGAGGGGAAGACCAGAGGAGACAGAGTTTGGGTACCACCTCGACTGGTTTGCTGTGCATGTGCATGTGTGTTGCCAGAAGTGTTCAGGTCAGGACATTAAAAAGAATGGTTTGGCCTCTTTGTCTCATCCCACCTCAGCTTAAAGCCTCAGACCCAAGAATGAACCCTTTGAATACTGGTACATTAAAAAAAAAAATGAACATGACAAAAATTTCCTCTCTCTGCCTAAAAGCTTCTATAGAGCTCTAAGGTCTACAGATAAAGACAGAGCAAAAATACAATTTGGTCTTTTGATGAAATGCGTGTGAGAGAAAAAAATCCAGGTGCATGCGATTCCTATACTAACTTGGATCGATCTACTTTGGGCAAATAGAAAATAAAAGACACGAGAATGGCTCACAATAAAGATCTCACCTCAGCAAGACCATGAGTTGCTTCTTTTATTTCTGTATCTTCGGATGAACAAGGGGAATTTCAAGTGATTTCAACACTGTAATGCTCCCAGCCACCCCAGCTCAGTCAGGGGTGCTGGGTAACTCCACGAAGCCAGGCCCCTGGGGAGAAAGGGTAGGCTGCCCTGATGCCCACCAGCCGGCTTGCAGACGGGGAAGATTTCATTTTATGTGGTTTAATTTCAAGTATTTGAACCCCAATCAAGCCTTTGAAAGACAAAAGAACCCTGACTAGATCATTGCTGGTCAGGTAGAAACTAAGTTGTGGAAAATCACATAGAGGGAAATAAAAATTTGCTAAGACTTTCTGTATTTGTGGCCACTTGTTTAAGGTAGTATGAAACAATACTGCATTTACTTACATCGGGCTTCTCTATTTTGTGTCATCTAATCCTCTGAGATATGATCTCTTGCTCACAAATGACGGAAATGAGAATGAACATTAACTAGTCCCAGCCCCCTGCTCTAGTGCTATATGACAGGACTGGAGTTTCAGCTCTGTCTCCAAAGGTCATGCCACTGCCACGGGACACCTAGTAATTGAGGTCATCTTATACCGAAACACACTTGTTTTTGGGATAAAGCCAGTACAGACTTGTACCAAATCTTGCTCTTTGGCAAACCCTATGAAGTTTCCAAACTTTGAGACACGTCACTTTTTCGGAGCTGCCTCATTTATGAAACGGAAATGACAAATACTAACTTCACAGGTTGTCACATGGTTTAGACAAATTGAGTATCTGAAAAGTACTTACAAACGGCGTACAGACATCCAGTGTCTTTAAGGCCTCAAATTGCTGGCTTGGATTAATGTACGACTCTCGACTGAGGAGAGAGCTCTGTATGTATCTCAGAGAAACACCAGCTGCTTCCCGGGACCCATCTGGTCACAGCCTAGACTCCGCCCTGCCCTGTCTGTGGGCCTCTGGCCACCGGAGGCTGACCCGGTCCCACACAGCCTCCAGGAATCGTCCATGTCCCTGGAGAGTTGAGACTCGGGCTGCTCACTGCGCCCCAGAAGATGGCTTTCCCAGTAGGCGGGTCAGACAAGCCCTGGAGAGGCCTGGCAGGCTCTCTGCCGAGCCAAGGAAACGTGCAAACCAGGGCACCACCCAGGATGTGTTAAAGCCTGCAGTTGGACGTAGAGCTGTCCTGCCATATACCAGCACCCTCCTGTTAATGCAGGAAGGAACTCAAACTTCATTTATTTCCATCCCATCATTAGACACAGCACCAGGGAGCCAGAAAGGTTGAGTGTCTGCCTCAGTGTCCCAGCTAGAAAATGACAAGAGTGAGAGCTACAGCTTAGCCTGGGGCATTCCCTCCCGACTGCACCTCCCAGCTTCTCCATTAGACCGACTTCATCTTAGGAAACATCTGGCATTTCTGTTCACATCCTGTTCATTCTTCACCCAGTGCTCTCTCGCACCCTTACCTCCAGTCAGCCTTTGTGAGCCTGGGAGCAGCTACTCCTAACACAAACTTCACAAGATGCTAAAATTATTAACATTATGAAGGCTGAGGCATGAGGAAGGGCTCCATTCTTGTTCTGATTAGCCTGGGAATTTGAACTTTTTTATGTTTTCGGTTCTGTCGCTAACCCTCTGAATACCCCCTAAAGGACTCCCGCATCCAGACCTCCTGACACCAGTCCTCCAGATTTCCCGACATCTAATAACCAGCCTGG